AGTAATATTTTTAGTTTTAAACTACTTAATCTTGCTTTAGCTGAGCTATCCTTCCTTTTCGTAATGCTCAGCTCATCCTTTGGTGTTGGTTTTTGCTTTTGCTCGTTACATTTAATCACAATTTCAAAAGTCTCTTTAGCTGCCTAGTGACTAATAATGTTTATAGGCTCTTCTTTTCCATTATCCATTTCAGCAAGAAGAATTATAGCTATAATCTGATCATTTTCAAGATTATCATTGGCCGTCCGCCACTTCTCCCTTCAACAGCCACTCTTCTACAACAGCTGCTCTTCTACCTTGTGTATCTTGTTTTTGATGGTCTATAAATCTTGGACTATTTGCACTTTATCTGCATTGATGATTTGAGTTTCATCAGGTATTGAATCACCTTTCCTTATACTCAGTTAATTTTGTTCCCAAGATTTTTTTAGAGTGGGATCTTTCATTTCTTCCTTAGCTTGTGGTAACTTTTATATTGAACTATTTCAGGCTTAAAACAGGTTACAGCCATCTTCAATTTGTTCTAATAAAGAGCCGACATATTTTCAACTGTATCTCTTCTTTAACCACTCAATAATATCCTGGTCTAAGGTTGGATCAAGAGCTTCACATGAGGGGGTAGAAAAATAGTTTTAATGTTTCCAATTTTGAGTTCATTTGCAGAAGAATGACTAGGAGTATTATCAAGAAGCAAGACTCTATAGATTGTGGGAGTTTTCATTTTCAAGTTCTGTTATACAACTGGAACAAACTCTCCAAAAAATCACATTTTAAACACATAACTGTTCATTCAAGCTGACATTTGATGGTGATAATAGATGGGCAATGATGCCATGTTGACAGGCCCTGAGTATTTTGTCTTTCCAGTAACAAACAATGATATTTTGTGACTTCTTTTCACATTAAAGCAAGTTGCAATAGTCAGTCTATCTTTGTCTAAGTCCCAGTTTGTCCCTGTCACATTTTCAGTTTTTTGAAGCAAGCATTTCAGGTGGGATCACCTTGTAATTCAACTCCAACTGGACTAGATTATAGACTGGTCTGGATTCAATAGTGTTGTCCTCGCTAATAATTTCAAATTGTTTAAGAACGTTTTTGGGCATGTTATTTTCATAAGAGAGGTTTCTCCAGAAATGACTTGATGAGATATCATGGTGACACTTCCATTGGTGAAGCCACCTTCACTTGTTCTTAAGTTTTCCTCTTTCTCTCTCACTTTCTCGGGGGGTATAATTATCGCCCTCTCTTTAATTATAGGACTTAACAGAGGAGTCCCGTTCCGCCTTCTTGGCAAAACCAAACCCAGAGTGTTTGACTTTTTTAGCATCTTTCTGTTTTTTAAAGCCTCTTCCCCCTTCACTGTCATGGAAAATGAGTCAATACATATGCTTAATTGTTGTGATGTTTAGAAGATAATTTTTTAACTGACTCACCACTGACCAAACATTTGTAAATTTGCAGTATGAAACATTGTAATACTTCAACAACATGCCAGGGTTGGCAAGAAGTAGGAGTCAAGAATTCAAGATAAAAGTAGGAGGAAAGGGGGTCGGATATGAGGGGTTCTACTGTAGTACCCTATGGTTTTCTTGTGGTAAATGGTATGTTAAAATCTTTTAATGGAAATGGATTTTCTCAGAAAATTAAAATGGGATGTACAGAACTAGTAAAACTTATCTTGTTTAGATTGTTGTTCATAATTCCATTGAATTATTGACAGTCATGCACCAACAAGTTAACAATTGGTACATTAAAAGAAACTTCTCTTCAAGATTCAAGTGATTATATTTATAAAGAAAAGTACTAATTTATTTTTAAAATACACAAAAAGCTAGTGTTAAAATTGATTAATTAATACAAATCACAACAATGTTTAAGGAACACTTCTTTCCATCTTCAGGTTCCTTGTTTAATGTGCATTACATTATATTGTTGTCATATAAATAATCTTGATATGTTGTATACAGTATTACATATTTATACATTATGAACATTGTGAATCTGAAATGGAATATGAGTTATACAACCTGCATAAATGATATTTATGTGTTTTTACATTATTATGATACTGAGACATTATAAATATTGTTCCCATGTGGAACAATATTTATAATGTAATGCACATCAATCAAGGAATCTGTAGATGAGGAAGCGTTCCTAAACATTGTGATTTATATAAATTTCACAATATTAACAAACTTTGCTTTTTGTGTGTTATTAAAATAAATTGTTCCCTTTTATAAATAAACTCACTTGAATTGTAAAGGGATTTTACCATTATCATTCCAACTGTAAATATGTCAATTCACGACTGTCAATAACTCAATGGAATCATGAACAATAGTTTAAATGGGTGCGACAATCAATAACAAACCCATTAAGAATTTTCTTGTTTTTCTTCACTTCAAATCTCTTCATAGTTTGTGTACATACCAGTCTCTCAAATAAAGGCATTGTATAGGCTCATGCTTTTCCACGAATCAGATAGAAATTTAACTTAGAAATATAATTTAACTTTACACAGGAACATTCTACTTTGTTTCCTGCTCTACTTATCCTTCCCTCTCAAGATTTGGGGTAAAAGTAAATGATACCAAAAATGCCAAAAAGTCCACTATTTGTTAAATCAAGTCTTTTATCTCTTTGTGCTATCTAGGCTATAAATTTTTCTTTTATGTATCTCAATGGTAAGTTATTAATCTGACCATTCCATCTTGCTCTAATACCACCTTTAAATTTGTGCATGTCCATTAGAAGTATGTACTACCTATTGCATGTTTTGATTCATTTCTAAAATAGCTAGCTCCTTCCTCTAGGGAATAGTAGCTTTAGTGTATGTAGTACCATCCAATTGGTTCACATTCAGGACTATTTGTTTTATTTCTTGCATTTTCTGAAAGTCATAACATAATCAAATTCTGATACCGTACATCTGGGACAAAATGCAGAAAATTGAAACTATCTGCAGTTTTTGCAGATGTAACTATGCATGAACTTAGAGTAATTTAGAATTATCAGTGTGTAGGATATCCTGAAGTAGATTGAAGTTTAGAGTGCAATCACAAATTGTAAATGTATGTGCCAGTGATATCTATCTAACAACACCAGTATAGGTTAAATCATATTCACTGGTATAAGTTATTTTATTACAAAACATTTGTGTTACATTTTTACTCTCTTCATTAGAATAGGTAAATGATTCTTAAAATAAACATTGATTTGTACTTGATCAATATGTATAGGTACATATGTCAAGATTAATACATGACTAGGTAACCAAGTGTTATTTATGAACTAAGATTATTTGTAGTGGAAAGAATTGTGTAGTATTTCACTCCAGGTACATGTTAACTTTTGCCAGAACATTTTATGTCAGGTTTTTTGTGTATTTCATTCCAATAAATACATTGATATCATTTTGTTTGTGTTTTGCTGTAGCAAAACAAATAATTATGCAGGACTGAATATTTTCATACTTCCTTTTAATTTAACCTTTGAAGTCATTGACTTAAATATCTTTCTTGATATGTATTAATACATTGTAACAATGTATTGTACACTGTAAATTTTTTTTCTTCCCAAAATGCATATTAAAAAAAATGGCAATATCAGATTTTTCCATTTTCTCCAATCTCGTTGGGGTGCTTTGGAGGAGAAGCCTATATTGAGTTTTTTCCCTCTCATAACCAGCTTAGGATAGTAGAAAAAAAAAGCCTGAGTCCTACAGTAAATTGAAAGTTAAAGATGATAGGAATAAATATCAAATATGCACACAGTTTTTGAATGTTGAGATTTATTGCAAAATGAACTTGGCTTGAAATTTTGAAAGGGACTTCAGTATTTTCAAGAAAGGCTTCTTAATTATGTTAAATTAAATTTGGTCATGGAGCAGTCAACTTCTTATTCGTCCACCTCATTACCCTCCACCACTTCCTCATCCTTGTTCTTCTCCTCCCCTCTTTCTTTTACCTTCATCTTTTCTTTTAGAATTATTCTATAGGATAGCACTACAGTTAATGAAAATCATACTTTACAATTACTAAAATTTTCCAGTTCATTTATCTCACAAATGAAGGTTTAATGAAGGAAAATTTATACATTTTTATTATTATGTTCAATGCATTATTATTTGTCAAATTCATGAAATTGAATTCACCGTTTGGAGTCAAATAGAAATTTATTGAAGATGAAATCACCTCAATCATAATGTGAATTATGTTTACATTAAATACATTATTTAATACAAAAATAAAAAAGTAGTGAGCAGCAAGTTTGTTACAGAATTCACATTAATTTCAGATCTTATGCAACTTCATCACAATATATATAAAATTATAACAATATTTTAGAATTTTTATTAGATCTCACTCTAGGAGATCATCTGGTTTCTTCGCACTTAGTGCTGGTGGAGAATTGTATCAGTGGGAAACAAACTAAATATAGATCCTCAGTGCTGTGTGTTCCTTATCTTAGCCTGTCATTTGAACATATCAGTTTTAAAAGCATTGCTAGAAGGTGAACGTGACATTCATTTGAGGGCATATTAACACTTCACTCCTTGGATGCTTGTTTGCTCAGTGCGCCCCTTTGCCTCTCATCAAAACAAGTAACCAGACGATCAATCAAATTTCCAACAAAATCTTATGTTCCCTTGAAAATCAAATCCATTTTTATTTTAATTTTTCACTATACCACCTCTCATGAACCAAAGTAAATGTTTATAAAAAATTAGAATTGTAAGTGTTGAATCTGAATACAAAAGAGGATTTGTTGATTTACACAATTGTAATACAAGCAATTACTCAGGATCTCAACTAAGGTAAATATACATATATAATGATCTGGCAAAAGTTCATTTATCATGTGATACAAATGTAATGAGTAAGTCGTATTTGTTTGGAAGTTTGTTTTTAAGATAAAGGAATTATTTTCATTACACATGATTTTTATCATTTAATTTAGGATCAACTGATCTTTTTTTCTAAAATCTCATTATGTAGGTACATGAAGCAGATGCATGTTTGGTGCTAGCTAATAAATATTGTCAAGATCCTGATGCAGAAGATGCTGCAAATATTATGCGAGTCATATCAATAAAAAATTATTCAGATGACATACGTGTCATCATTCAACTAATGCAGTACCATAATAAGGTAATTGAATATATACATTGCGGTGTAAGGTTGATTTACTGTTTTTTAAAATATAAATTATATTTGCAGGCCTATTTATTAAATATCCCATCATGGGACTGGAAGCAAGGTGATGATGTAATATGTTTAGCTGAGCTTAAGTTGGGTTTTATTGCTCAAAGCTGCTTGGCTCCAGGGTTTTCTACTATGATGGCAAATTTGTTTGCAATGAGATCATTTAAAACAGTGAGTACTGATTTGCATTTAATGAAGATGTTATACTTCAATGTATTTGTATTCATTTTGAATGTTAATTGTTGGAAAAGTCCTTTTAGGTTCTTTTCAAAACACCAAATATTTTGAATACTCTAGAGGTACAATCCACCTTTTTCCCCCTTTTTTCTCCCATCATTTTCCATTAAAATGTATGGGTTTCAACATTGTACTTTTTTTATGGTAAATCCAGTTATCCCTTAAATTAGACTTAACATCATATTTAATATTTGTTAATGGAAAATGGATTCATCTTCAAAGGGTGTGTGGTGTAGTGGTCAGCCTGTTTGCCTTGGTCAGTCCAAGGGGAATATGTGGAAGACAAAGCAACAAGGGATCTTGACAAGGAGGTTCACTTGGGTTTTTTTAATTCCCAAGCCTCTTGATCCCCTCATCTCTGTCTTCATACTCATTGCTCACCTCGTCATTATAGTAATTACAGCTGTGATTGTCTGAGTCTCTTTTGGAGGCTGACAGGTTTCAGTGTATTGCTGTAGAAAATCAATTTTGAGATTTTAATGGCAATGTGTGTTTTGGGGTCTTCTGATACCAGAAGAATGTTTATTTTCAAAATGTCAGTGCATCTTAAATCATGAACAACACTTGTGTCTAAACTATTTGTAGGATGTTTTTCAAAAATAAGGATTCCTGGCATGATGTGACTCAACCCGAAATCAATCGGTCAATTTTTCGGTCTTCTGCGCTAATAATACAATTTATAACGGATTTTGTCCTTCTGCATTCCTGGTTGTAATTGTGAGTTTCCTTATAATTAAACCATATATTTGTTATTAGTTTATTTAACAGATCTGTCAATATTTTTCCTTTCTAGTTGATGGTAAGTTCCTCTTCTATGTAAGGTTTGATTTGTTGTTCTCTAATATAGTATTGAAGTCCTCTACCATGATTAGTATTTCATTCTGTTTGTACTTGTCAATTGAAGATCTTGGAATAGATCAAGAGTTCAAAAAACAAAATTTGTGGGAAATGAGAAAAAATAGCCTATCTTCCCAAAACTCAAAAATATATGGAATTTTTTTTCCCACAGCAATACCTTTACATATCATAAAACATAAATGCAGGTGTTAATAAATAAAAGCACAAGGTCCCATAAAGTTACAAAAATAGAATAACATGTATTATTATTTTGCATTTTTATTCTAGCTTAACTTTCATAAAACAATTGAACCTTGGAACCAATATAACCACAGTGAGTTTAGTATATTCTAGATTAACTGTTACTTGCAAGAAGCACAATTAAAGTACATACTTGATAAAACTGATGGAAAGTGATCATTCATCACACCCATTGTTAATATCATCACAGTCAATAATAGTGTCATGACTGTTTCCTGTACATACCATACATTTTTGAAATAATTTGTCTTTCTGTCACAGTTTGACTTCACACCCTACCATGGATAAACTAACCCAGCACAAAAGAATGTCTTTAACAAAAGCACGTCTGTATTTACAAAATTAGTTTCAAGGCCAGCCATTGTTTTGCAGTTCCATGCATCATTCACTTACCCAAAACCAGCATTCGTCTATAACATACTGGTTTTATCAGAAACTCATGATGTTCTTCCAGATCTGCATATTTTTCTTTGCTCAATTTCATTGGGGCTATGCACTATAGGCCAAGCTGATGTTATCCTCTGATGTATGAAAGTTCACTCTAGAAAATAGGAGCACTAACTCCATTTTTGCTTTTCAATTGAAGAGCATATTCCCAAATTGACAAAGCTCCATGAAACACAATTTTTCAGGAAGGGAAAGTATTCAATCTATTAGAATTTTTGCACAGCGTAGTGTAAAAAGTAATTAATTAATCACATGACAGGTAGTGTGATGTGTAATACCACTGGCAAAGCGAGCATTCGCTGAACATTAGTGTGTAATATTTTTCTTCTATGTTGGTTTCCTGTGTAAAATTCTTTGAATTAATAATCCTGTTTTAGTCACATTGTTTAGAAATCTGCTTTAAGACTTTTCTTATTGCTAGGTTGTTAAGATGATTGTTTGGATTCCTTTACCGTCGTAGTAATTTTCTTGTGAGGTTGGCATGTGGTTCGTGGTTTTTGTATTAATGACGGCTTTTTCTTTTTCTTCCCTTTTATCTTCTTCTTTGTAAGTTGTTGTTTTTTCTTTTGAGTCAGATTTTCAATATCTGTCATTCATGGTATTTTGAAGAATTCTGTTTTTTCTCCTTCCTTTACACTTCATCATTCAATCTTATTTCTGAATCCTTTCTCTGCTGTAATCAATGTCTGTGATATATTGTTAATGTTAAAGCAGTGAATTGTTCAGTCTCTTTTCTATTGTCTTGTTTTTCTGTCCTTTAAATATCATAGATTTTCTTTTTTCCTTGTTTTTAACTGCTTCGTCCTTTTATTTCAGGCTTTCACTTGTTCTTTTGTTATCATTACTTTCTCTTATACAATTAAGTAGTATAAAGAAAGTATTGTGCTACAGGAAAAAAATGCTTATTTTTTATCATAATGTGGGTCCCTGAGGCCAAAAATGTGGACTTTTCCTGCTTTATCAGCAATAAATTCCTTTCACAAGTTTGTAGTCTGGTCAGAATTCACATATGCGAGTCCTTGATACTAAAACATTGTTTTGGGAAAATTGTCAGTCTGCCTGTCCGTCAGTGAATAACACTAGCGTGTAAACCATTTAGAGGATTTTTTCCAAAATTAATATACCTCTATTGTGCTGGCTAATTGTCTAAAATGTAAAATGGGTCTTTTCATTGTGGGATATTTTGACTGCTGGCTCTAAGCAGTTTTGGAATTTTTAGTTCAATTTTTGTCTGAAAAAAGCAAAATATGCTTATAAAAATGGTGCAAGTTGATTTTCATTAAACATCAGAATTTTCAAAAATAGCCAAAAAAATAGATTCCATTCACCAACTCCATTATTGAAGATAGGTCTTTTTTCCTTAACGAAATCTGTTCTCATAATTAGATAAATAAAGTCAGATACAAGTTTTAGAAAATAAGAATAGTTTTTGGGTAATTTTGAGTGAAAATATGATTGTTTTTAAAAAAATATGTAAGCAAGATTAAAAAAAAAATATTTAAATACTTTGGATTTTCTCCTTTGTAGAAAAGTATTATAAACATGAAGAAAAAAATTAGAATGCAGAGGTCAAATTACAATATTAATTAGAATACATAGAAATTTGTACCCTAAATCTTCCCTTAATCTCTTGGCCTGACCTGTAACTCTGTGTTATGCATGTGTAATTGAGGAATTGGATCTCTATACCCAGTAACAAGGCAGGTATATATGTATAGTAATTGTAGGCTTCCTTGGCCAGAGTCTTGTGAAAGCTCTCGGCTAACCAAGTGGCGCCCTATGAAGGACAGTGATGCCTGAGTTTCAACTAGCATATTATGGTCTTCTTCAGTACAAAACCACGTGCTCCAGCCATGAAGAAGACCACAATATCATGATCAAAATGTTGGCATCACTACCCTCAATGCTGTGTTCACTGGACTGCTAAGAACCTTCACATATTTGTAATAATTCATGACTAAGATGGGTTTAAGATCTAAGAGAAGCAGTAGTTACCCCAGAAGCCCTGGTAGGACCTGTAGTTATTGATTATAGCTGGGAAGGGAGTGGGGCAAAACCAATACGGTAGTCCCGATGCAATTGACTCGGGAATTAACTAATATGAGAGTCTCTGCCATTCTAAAACACTACTAGTTTTTTTTCTTAATTTTGTACATTAAAATATAATAAGATTGTATTTTGTTGTTCTTATTCTTTCACTCAAAATACATGCATATTGTTTGCTGAATTAAAACTTTTTATCTACATGATGTGTGCATCACTGTTTAAGTATTAACACAAGTTTCTTTGAATAGTCTCCAGATACCCAAGCATGGCAAAATGACTATCTTCAAGGAACTGGCTGTGAAATGTACACTGAAACTCTTTCTCCATCATTCACCGGAATGACATTTCCTCAAGCAAGCGAGTATGTTCAATTGTTTCAATTCAAGTTTTATATTCATTATTTGAATCACAAAACTAAAAATGTTATATGGAAATTATTATACTAGCAGTGAGTTGCAAAGTTTCTCCTATGAGATCATGTGCTCAACTTCTTTTACAACAGTGCAGTTAGAAATACTCTCCACTGTAAACAATAGATATTGTAGTTTCTACAACTTTTGTGCATTACTACTCTAAAATTACAAAGGAGGTATTTATATGTAAATTTACTCTTCAACATAATTCGAATTTTAAATTTTGTGTAATTTTATACATTTTTAATGTCAGTTTCTTCTTCTTTTGTAATTTTATCTCAGTATTGGTAATGTTAATGGAAAATGTAATGATTATATAAACTAGTTTTAACATAAAATTTATTGCTATTAACAAATAAGAAATTATTTTGCAGGCTTTGTTTTACAAAATTAAAACTCTTACTTCTGGCAATTGAAATCAAAGGGGAAGATGGAAGCGATAGTAAAATTTCAATTAATCCTCGTGGAGTTAAGATACAAGCAAACACGCAAGGTTTCTTCATCGCCCAATCTGCTGATGAAGTCAAAAGGTCAGTATATAATCACCTCATGTTGAAGATAATGGAAGTCACAGCAATACAACAGGTAGCATGCCAGCCTATTATTCACAAGTTTGTGGGATTTGCTTCCTAGGAATTTTCAGATGTGAAAATCAATGTCATGCAGTCATATTGTTATATACGTGAACCTGTGAAAACCTGTCGATAAAATCTACTTGACCCATAATACTTTGTATTAAGTATTTAAAGAAAGTTAGAACTGCTATCGAAGAGCATCAAAACTGGCTAAGTAGGTAAAAAGCATTGGGTTCTACTTCTCAGGTTGCAGAGGCCTTACAATAAACAATAAAAGAAAACAAATAAATAAACCAACACAATTAAATGAATAAATAAACAAATTTTTTATTGAAGTAAATATTTGAGAGCAATTGTTCTTGACTATAGTATTGTTTGGTATTGATGTTCACATACTACTCATATCTATATAATTATAACATTAAGGGTTTACGAAACCTTTTGCAACCAATCAATGCTTGAAGTGAATTTTTCCACTGTCCAATAGTTTCTGGCAGAAGACCCAGCGATTCTTCAAGATTTTTACATCGTTTTGGATGACCGACCAACTCCCATATATCATTTTCCTCTGAAGAAACCAATTCTTCTTTAAGTGCCTTCAACCACTCTTCTCTGTCAGGAGACTACAGCACATCAATGTAGAAGAGAAACGTGGTGAAACATGGTCGAGAATATCGACGTTGCACACAGCAAGAAAGCCTGGTCAGTTATTCGGAAACTCTCCTGCGACCCTACACAACCCAAGATCTCCCCGAACGTCATGCCTAACCAAGTTGCCAACCAATTACTACTGAACAGCAAACCAGTCAATCAACTAGGCCACAGACATAATAAAGAGAAAATAAGAAGCCCTGCCTCAGAGACTAGCTCCCTTAGTGCTCCAATCAGTACTCATGAGACGAAATTGAACATAAAAAGCCTTCGAAACAGAAAGGCAGCTGGCATGGACATCTTTACAGAACAGTTAAAACATCTTGGTGAGAAAGCAGTTTCATGGTTAATGAACATATTCAAATTCCAAAACTCTGGAGAAAATCTTATGTGACTGCCTTGCTAAAACCTGCGGATAACCCAAAACGTTACCGCCCAATATCGCTTATATGTCATACGTACAAGTTGTTCGAAAGGATTCTGTTGACCAGACTAACCCCAATCATAGAAGAGAAACCCATTCCAGAACAGGCGGGATTTAGACCGGGCCGATCCTGTACGGGACAACTTCTTAACCTAACCCAACACATAGTGAACGGCTTCCAAAAAGGTCGCATAACGTGTGGCGTTCGTCGACCTACCATCCGCCTACAACACCATCAATGTACGCGAGTTACTTGCCAAGTTATACCACCTAACCCGAGATTTCAACTTTGTCCGTATTACAGAAGCCCTCCTGAGTAACAGGCGCTTTATGGTCTCTATGAATAACAAGAACAGCAGATGGCCTCCCCCAGTGCAGCGTCTTGGCCCCCACCCACCTCTTCAACATCTATGAAACCAATGGCCAGCCCATCAGCCGGAACTGCCGTTCCTTTATTTACGGCGACGATCTCGCTCTGTCATCCCAGTCAGACAATTTTGCAGTGGTAGAAAAACAAAAGTCACTGAAACTTTAAACCAGCTTTCTCGCTACTATAAAGAAAACGACCTCAAGCCGAACCCGGCTAAATCTGAAATATGCGCGTTCTACCTTCGCAACGAGCAAGCTTGAAGGAAACTCCAAGTACGGTGGTGGGGCGAACTCCTCGCCGTCAACCCCGAGCCCCGGTACCTTGAAATCGTTCTCGACAGGATCCTTACATACAAGAAACACTGTACTAACACCAAAATGAAAGTTGAAACCCGCAACGACATCCTCAGAAGATTGTCTGGATCAAACTGGGGAGCTGACCCCAGAATCCTCTACCTATCCGCTTTGGTCCTTCGCCACTCTGCAGGTGAATGCGCCTGCCCAGTTTGGCATAAATCCGCTCACTCCAAGATGGTTGATACCGCCTTTTATCAATCCTGCCGCCATGTGACTGGCTGTCTCAAGCCCACACTCACTCCACAACTGTCTGTTCTTTCGGACATCGCCCCCTCCAAAAATCCGCCTGGAGATTTCCTGCAGAGCGGAAAGAAGCCGACAAGTGAATGACAAACGCCACCCTCTGCATGGTCGATCTCCCACCCACCGAAGGCTCCGTTCCCGCAAAAGTTTCCTTCAGACCAGTGCCCCTCTCCAGAAAGCAGCCGAGCAGGAAAGGCTAGACCTGTGGATGAACGAATGCCGCCTATCGGGTCACGTCATGAAACCCTCAAGAGTCCCTGCCTCGGGGCCGAACAACCGTGGACCATATGAAGATTCCTTAACTTTTCTTTGTCGTCACGCGGAAAGGTGACTCGATCTGCATATTCAGCCGTTGCGTACTGCTGCGTTCAAACCGCGCACTCAGTGTTCAAATCTCTTCAGCACTGATTCAAGTCAACGCGAGCTCGGCAATTGTTTTTTCTAGCCCACTAGCTAACAAACTTGCCGCTTTTGTACCGCCCTTTTTCCATTGCTGAAGAATTGTTTTTTATGCCGCATAATCTATAAAAACAGAACACAGTCTTCAAGTTTATACCCACCACAACACCAAATATGCCACTTCCACTTTGCCCAGTCTGCAGGTCCTTCAAGCTTATCCACTTGTATTTTGTAGTCATCTCCGATAACTTTGTTTGTTGTTTATGTACAAAGTTCTAGTTAAGACGTATAAAAAATCAGCACATTTTCTTCGGTCGTTCAATTTCAGATCCATTCACTAAAGAATACGATTTACATGTGGCTTGGGCCCATAACCTATTAATTTCTTTGTATAAATGTTATTTTATTATTCGTCTTGAATATATAAAGTAAACGTATTCGTAAACGTCCGTAACAAAACAAGCCCGAACACACACAAACTTCACAGATCAACCCAAACAGTCTTAATTAAAAAAAGTTCTAAGACGCGTACACAGATTACTGTTACTGTCTGCACTTTTCATATTAAAGTAATGTTTTCGAGTCTGCCAAGCTGTACTTTCTTCACCTTCCGCGGTCTTCCTGATCCTCGACTGGTGGACGCCCGTTAGACTTCTGTAAAATTTGGCTCTAAACCGCGAAAAACGCGTTTGGTGCCTGACTCTTCCTCTGTCAAACTCTTCTGGCTCGAAACCCCGAAAACCTGATTCGGAGCCTGATCCTTGTCTTTCTTCGTTCGTCGTAGAGTTTGGTGAGTCCTTCGAGGCTTCTTGCCTATCGTAATGGTGTCCATTTCATGCAGTCAAACCGACGTCAATGTGCGAACGGGGATCAGTCTCCATTTTTACATATGTATTCTTACACTTTTCAGAAGCAACATCACCTGGATTGTTGAAGTTCTTCCCTATGGTGCAAGATGACTCCACAAACTTTACATCCCAGGTGACGTCTACTCATCTTTCGATTGGAATCCAGTCTCTGTACTCCTTGGTCTCTTCGAAATACCCTTTCTCTCGATCGCGGTGCTTTGTGGTTATTTGTGGAGCAATTGAGACAGTAAACCTTACAGCCGAATTCATGTAACTCTGTTACGTCGGGTGCAACGCCAAACTAGACTTCTTATCGAGTCTTTCCGTTTAATTTGCTGCTTGGACTGCGGTTTCTGTTGGCTCTATAAACCGCTTTTACCCAAAACAATGAAGGCAACTGAGCAAATAAGCAACAGGCCTTTCCGACCAGGGATCGATTCTTGCACTTAGTAACTCCGGATTGTGAAGTGCAGTAACTCTTCTTTGGATTCCCGAACGTTTCAAGGATCTCACACTATTTTGGGTCCCTAGGCGAATTCTAAAACGTTCGAATTCATTGAAGACGTCATCGTTTGTTTCAGGAATTTCACTTCTGTCCACCTCGATACGTCGTCGAAAAGTACCGAGCTTTTCCAAGTGGCGTCGTCCGTACCGGGCCCCCACGTCGAAGTGAATTATGTCAAACACAATATTCTGTGTCCGACTTCTGTGGGAAATGTAGTCGAGTCATCGTCCCCTGAAGACAGACGTCGCATACGAAGTCACCCTCGACGTCATCAATCTTCAACCCTTCGATGGTTCCCTTCCCATATGCTTCGCGTAGATTCTGGATATTCAAATGACCAAGTATCCGGTGTCATTCTAACAATGTCTGCTTCTTACATTCTTTACTTACCATTCTCTCTTCTATCTTCTTCTTCTTTCTTCTTCTTCTTCTTTCTTCCTTCTTCTTCTTCTTCTTTTTCTTTCTTCTTTTTCCTCTTCTTCTTTCTTTTTTTCTTCTTCTTCCTTCTTCTTTCTTCTTTCCTTCTTCTTCTTTCTTCTTCTTCTTCTTTTTCTTCTTTCTTCTTCTCTTCTTCCTTCTTCTTCTTCTTCTTTCTTCTTCTCTCATCTTCTTCCTTCCTCTCTTCATCCTTCTCAGGAGCCTTTATTGCGTCGTACATAATACTGACCGTTGACGCTCTTCGCCCCGACAGTTACAGTTCACTTGGGGTTAATCACTTCTGCTGACATTTTGGTAAAGGTTGGAATTCAGGTCTGGAACGTGAGGGGCGTCCGGCATCTACACAGTTCTTTCGGCATTGTTGACTCGTGCTGAGTTTTGGGACGCCCTTGGCCGCCATACTTCCTCGTCAGTTGATATGAAACTCATTAGGGACAAATTTTTCAGAACTGCTGGTGATATTTGACAATGGCATGCATGGAGTCATGGCTAACTCTAACCTGAACACAAATTTCTTCCCCTGTGATTTATTGGTTTTCCCTGATAATTCCATCAATCCATACAATCACGTCAAGTGTAATGGCTCACTGAGCATGTCCTCAGCAAGAATCGTCTTGCAGAGATGTGTGTTCTCTGAAGCACTTATGCCACTTGTGCATTCTTATCAGTGGCACAGTGGTTCCACACCACGTTGCTCTTCTTTTCTTGTCTCCATTTCTAAAACAGGACAAACATACCTTTTACTACACTTGCCTACAGAGAAATCAGGGTCTGATCTAGCCGATCATTTTGGAGGATGCCATTGTATATTTTTGAATAAACATAATTGTTATTATAATGTATATTATTTAAATACTCTAGATATGATTCTACACAATATTAGGTATTGTTTAAATAATTACATAATTCGAACATAAATAAATATTTAAATCAATGTTGCCAAATAAAGGAAGGTAAATGAAAACTCTAGGCCTTTGGAGGGGGGGGCATGATTGGGAGGGATCATGCCCCCCCCACACACACACACACACATCCACTAGTGAGAGAAATTGACAAACAACTGTGGGTACCTGAGTTGTCAGATTGCAATTCTTCTACCCCAGACATGACAATCAATAATTCAATAATCAATCA